TTAGCAGAGATGCTTTATAAAATCCAGTATGCCGTCGAATCGATATCTAAAAATCCTAAATTAATAAGAGAGTGGGTTAAGTATTTGCCAGAAGTAATAGATTATTTAAATAATTATCCAACACGTCTCATTCGAGCTCCTGGATCCTCGAAGTGGGGGTTAGCACCAATAAAAGCCATCAAATTAGAAAAGGTTGAATCTCGGCCATCCACAAAATATAAACGTCCTGTTGGAAAAAATGAGGAGAATAAGTTAAAGAAGGGTGATACAGTTCGTTATCTGCTTGCTAATGCAGAATGGGAAGGAGGTATGGAGAATCAGAAAAGAGCCACGGATCCGACATTCTCACCAAGCCTTCATAAAATTCGAAAAATTGTTGTAACGAAGAATGAACCAGTTTTATATTATCTTGGAGATGATGACGATGAATATGCTCCAAAGCGTGGATTTGTGAGAGAGGAACTCATGCACATAGATCTAGAAAAACTTCAGTATCCGCCCCAGAGTATATTGGAAGAAAACACTCGTTCCAGATCTATTAATTTCGTTCGTATTATTAATAATGTCTAAAGCCGAAAAGTATGCAAAGAAGCGTGACGGGAAATGTATTGGTAAAACTGGCCAAATAAATGATTTCGATGTATATCTCTGGTCATGTGAAAACGGACTCCATCAATGGGAAGCACCTTATAAGACTCAGAAGCGTAAATTCGAATGGTGCCCAATTTGTCCACATTTTACTAATGAACGCAGATGTCGATATATTTTTGAGGATTTGTTAGGTAAGAAATTCCCATCTTGTAAACCGTCATTTTTGAATGGGATGCAATTAGATGGATATAATGAAGAATTAAAATTGGCATACGAATTCCAGGGACCTCAACATTTTTCCGAGAATCCAATGTTCCATAAGCGAGGCAAGATAGACTTAGATGAGCAAAGGAAGCGCGATCAAAAAAAGCGGGATATATGCAAGGAGCAAGGTATACGTCTCATCGAAGTCCCGTTTGACTGTGATTTATTAATATATATAAAGAGTAAATTGATCGAAAAAGGTTATTTATCAAATATAGAATAAATTCGTAAATTTAAATACCAATGTCATATATTGCTAGAAGCAGTCACTTTGTGGTTAAATTACATCCACTAAACTTACCTGAAATATTAACCGAAATTTTCTTGAATTTAGCTGAAGATAGATCATTGTATCCGACCTTATTCGTCAATAAATTTTGGTATTCGTGTGCAGGGCCGATTATCCGGCGTTGTGCGGTGTTTGATAAAAGAAATCTAGTACAATTCGAAAAATTCAAGAAAGTGATGCGTGGGAAACAAAAACCTCTTTACCATTCTAAGCTATTGCGACTCATTCTTCACGAATGTAAAATTTCAGATCGAACCTTAATCAAGATTGCTTGCGAAACCTCCAGATTGAAATGTCTCATTCTTAACGGCTGTAATGGTTTTTCTTATGAATCAACTGCAGATTCTTTGAAAATGTGGCCTAATCTAAAACATTTAGAATTTGATTTTAACAACACTAAAAAGGGGGTCTCTGGTAAATTTATATATATTGATGACAGAATACTTTGTGGAATTGCAAACCGAAATCTGGAATATCTAAGTCTCGGTTCTTCTAAACTCTCTGATAAATATTTAAGCAAAATCGCCGATTCGTGTCCAAACTTAAACTATCTCAGTCTGGGACACAATAAACATATCACCGATATATCTATGATTGATATCGCACATTCCTGTCCTAAATTACGTTATCTTAGTTTGTGGTGTTGCAGTATTACAGATGAGACATTAAAAGCAGTAGCGTATTCCTGTCCTGGACTCCAACATTTGAGACTAATGTCTTGTGGAGGTATTTCCGATGTGGGGGTTTGTGCGATCGCTACTTCATGCCGAAATATTATAGATTTTTCTTTTGAGAGTTGTGGGATAAGTGATATATCAGTTAAAAAAATTGCACAATCGTGCCCAAGTATCCGAAGCCTCAATCTGGATTGGTGTTATATAACCGACGAGTCTATCTGTGAAATAGCAAGATCAATATCACCGATATATCTATGATTGATATCGCACATTCCTGTCCTAAATTACGTTATCTTAGTTTGTGGTGTTGCAGTATTACAGATGAGACATTAAAAGCAGTAGCGTATTCCTGTCCTGGACTCCAACATTTGAGACTAATGTCTTGTGGAGGTATTTCCGATGTGGGGGTTTGTGCGATCGCTACTTCATGCCGAAATATTATAGATTTTTCTTTTGAGAGTTGTGGGATAAGTGATATATCAGTTAAAAAAATTGCACAATCGTGCCCAAGTATCCGAAGCCTCAATCTGGATTGGTGTTATATAACCGACGAGTCTATCTGTGAAATAGCAAGATCATGCCCAAGACTAGAAGTGCTACTTCTTCTAAATTGCTTTATTAGTGATATATCAATTCATGAAATTATTCGATCATGTAAGAACCTGCGTAGTCTTGATCTCAAAAAATGTTACTCTGTTACTGATGAGGCAATCGATGCTCTTATGACTAGCAATCCACGCATTGATATTAGAGAGCCTTAAGTGATTTACTATGTCGCATTTATTAGACTACATAGAATAAAAAATCGGGTGAATATATATAACAATAAAGATCATTATTTTTCAGGTATAATAATTAGTGACTTAGCTTGATCAAGATGGAAATCGAAAAACTTGAATCAAAATCAGATAATTCGTCAGAATAAAAAAACATAATATATATATTTATAACGAAAAGATGTTATATTGTGTATTTGCAGTGGATGAGGTAAAACCTTCGAAAAAATACCAGGGAGATAAAGATGCACCAGCGTGGCCTTTTCGTATCGTAATGGCAGGGGCTAGCAATTCAGGTAAGACCAATATGAATTTAAACTTGCTAACAATGCCCAAATTTTATTACATGTTTAAGAAGAGAAAGTGTTCTAAGATAGGGGAACGTAATGTTAAATGCAATGATGTAGTTCTTTTCGGACATCATTTAAATGAGCCAAAATATAAAATAGTTCGAGATTTTTATAAATATCTTGCCCAAGACAAATCAAAGCCCTATTATGAAGATGTCACATTTTCTACACTCTCTCCTGATAAAATTCCAGATCCCAAAAAGTTTAATGCTAAAAGAAGTACATTAGCGATATTTGAAGATCTTTACTCCGACCCTCCAGCTATACAGAAAAAAATTATTCCATTTTTCACCCGAGGTCGTCATGAGAATATTTCCTCAATTTATGTTGCTCAGAAATTCCACAAAATCCCAATAGATATTCGTGAAAATGCCACTCACATTGTTCTCTTTAATGGTGGGGGCTCTATTCGAAAACTTGCAGATATTATAAGTCCTTACACTGATGTAGATCCACGAAAAGCTTCAAAAATTATTGACGGTTATTTGAGACAAAAAGAGTTTATAGTTATAGATCTGAATAAACCAAGATCTGAGTCTTTCTCACTTCGATGGGACACCCCTCTTGATCTGGAAAAGGAAATCGAGGGATTAAAAGATAATAAACATTCTGCCTAACCTGAGCGTGATTTCAGATATTTTAGGAATTTTTCTGCCTCTTGCAATTCTATCCTCTTTTCTTCAACCTCGCATCGTAACTTCTTATTTTCATTAACCCGCTTTTCATGTTCTATAGTAATTTCTCGCATAAATTTACCAAAAGTTTCTTCATTATATTCAAGTAATCGTCGACATAAAATATCTAATTCTTTCTTAACACGACGATTGATTTCTTCCTCACTTGCAAAGCAAGGGCACTTATGTGCTTGATTACAGGTGCAGATCGGATTAATATTCTGGGTTTGGGTTTCTTGATTAGTCATATCTATATATGTCTTGACACCTCCTTCGGAGTTATATGATAAATTTTCAAGTGGTTCTATAGTTTTAATTTGTTTTTTACGCTTTTTATTTAATCCTTTTTCATATACCTCTAATGTATGATACAAATAAGTCTCAATTCGATCACATTTTTCAGAAATTTGCTCTGAGGTAACGGGGGATCTAGAGTGATGTAAAAGTCTATAATATGCTCTCTTAACCAGACTTTTTGGAAGATTTGCTATAATAGGATTGTAATCTGGATGAAACATTTATTATTAATTTGCGCGCAAAAAGTTTGCATGCAAAAAAAATGGTCTATATGTGTCTTGACACTAGCTCCGCTATAATTCCATAATCGTTTTTGTAATTGATCTTTTTTATTTGTGTGTTATTACTCCGAAATTGGTAATCCATCATCAGATTTAAATGTGGTTGAGTCGTGCTAGAGTTGAGCTAGAGTCGCGCTAGATTTTTTCTATATAATTATATGTAAAATATCATACTTGTGCTAGAGTCGAGCTAGAATCACGCTAAAAATATATTAAATCATTATATTAAAATATATTAAATCATTATATTAAAATATAGTAAATCATAATATTAAAATATAGTAAATTATCTTTAACTACCGCTAATTCGATTTTTTAGAAAAAAAGTAGTATAAATATAAGTTATTTTTTGTATCTATTTCCATACCTTTTACATATCTATTATTTCCATATCTTTTACATATCTTTTACATATCTATTATTTCCATTTTCACTATGTGGACCAATGACCAATTACGATTATTAATTAACGAACGTAAATCTAGAAATATTGAATACCATAATATTTTTGGCAGTAGCAGAGTTGATTTTTGGAATGAAATCGCAAATAAAATCAATGAAGAATTTCGCACTAATTATACTGATCATCAATGTAAGGACAAGTTTAGAAATCTTGTTAATAGTCATAATGTAAGTATTATTTTTTTTGCGATTACGAAATATCTATATACATGTACCGAGATATCTCACTATGATTACATTCCTAACAATTTCCCAATTATACTAGTCATTGTGTCGGTATGTGGTTGGAAATAGAACGGGTCGGAGAACCAGAGTTGCTGAAAGATATTTCGATGAATTTCGTTCTCGCTTTTGGGAAAGACCTGGTAATTTCACTTTATATGAATATGTTGAAAGCCATTAGTAGAGTTAACAAGACTAATTTTTTACAAAAAATAGAAACGCAATTCGACCAAATTCATAATGTAAACCGATCATCCAGAAGACGGGAAGAAAGACAACGTAGCCGTACACCACCGCCATCATATGAAGAAGTTTCATCGATGCTTGATCTCCGGGAATTTTCTACTAGCCAAAGGGGACGATCCAGATCACCTCGCAGAGTATCTAATGATAGTAGGAGGAACATTAATATTAATCAGTCTAATCAAGGCTTTGAAATAGATATACAAAACATGGGTTCTCGTATACCAGTTCTCGCTGAAAATATTTCGGACAATAGTAATATTGAGAATAATGTTCAAGAAGATAATGATAGATAAAATTAATAAAAAAATATTATTTAACCCTGATATTCCATCTTATTCCATCTGCATAATCAATCAGATAACGATATGTTGTACGCTGTATAATAAAAATTATTTTTAGATTAAAATTTGTACGAACCTGATCATAATAATACGTGATTAACCAAATTCGATTAATTACCTTTAACGAATATAATAATTATATAATTTCACTTATATCATTTATCTCATAAAGAATTCCTCTGCAATTGTAACTTTTTTTCTTCGATTTCATATAAAAAAGATGTCTAAGTTTAATGTAAGCAATCAATCAAATAATTATTTATTTTTTCCGTTATTTATTAATACAATAATATAGTATACATCTATCTGCCACTTCTTATATTATTGAGAAGCACGATTTATTATCTACACTAGGGATTTTTTGTAACTCATAAAACAGATTGACATATAAAATTAAAGTAAAAAAAGCTATTAATCATCACGAAATAGCAGTGAATAAAAGTCTAAAGTACTAGCCCTCAAGGAATACTTTAGGTGGTTTTATTTTAAATATATGAATAAGTTATATAATAAATAGATATATTGACCAGATAAATAGATATGTGTATTATACATTGCTAACTTGACGATTTCTTCTCGAACTGCCCATAATAATTTGTAATGCTCAGCTAATTCGGTAGCACACATCAATGTGTAAATTTCAGTGTGTAACTAATGCAGATTTCTACAAATTTAGAAACTATCTGCAGAAAACTGCTAATGTATGATGTTACACCCGCACATTCCGCACATTGAATTTTATACACTGGCACACATACCTTCGGGTCTGAAGAAAATTTCTAACCATTTTCTCTGTATAATTCTACATGCTAGAATTTTTCTACCAATTTCTCTTGCACGCTTAACCTTCTTGATAGCATTGAACATCCATAATTCATATTGATGCAATGCATACTCATTATCATAGATATACCCTGAAATAGATTTTGTTCAATTTCAGTAAGTACTCATCATAATTTACTCCACAATATGCATTTCCCATACAATGAGAAGCCCAATGTTTCTCCATTCCTATGTGATTATAATTTCCAATATTTTTGGTTCGTTTTCCAGTATATACTAATTGATTACAAGAAAAGCAGATAGCAATACTGATTTCAGGTGCATAGCTTTTATAAAATCCATTAACCTCAGACCAATATGTTATTAATTTTCTGGCTTCAAGATATTTTTTACTATTATAAGGTAAGAGATCATTTTCTCTAAAATATGTAAGACGTTCCCAAATCCATTCCATCCAATCAGTAGGAGTCTCATTCAATGAAACAATACTCATCTCCAGAATTTCATCCCATTCAGCGTCGGTACAATTAGTTCCACATCTTTCACTTAAGCTAGCCATTTTATATAACCTATTTGTAGTGTTTATGGAAGTATATGTGATTTATATCGAATTTAAGGATTAGACCTATTAGATTTGGTTTTATATTGTTAGTTAAAACTGGATTCATTTTTTGTGCAAATTCTATTTGAATCATTTTATCGTATTTTGCAAACGATTATGGGGTTTGAGCGAATATGTGAGAATATATTGATAAATGGTAAAAAATCGAGATATTAATATATATATAGTTGAATGTTCCACAAGACTAATTTGTGATACTGCTAAATTATTTTCTCGCTATATTTATAGATTATGGAATTAATAAAGCCTTTTTTCCTTACTGTAGATAGCTTTACCGATAAGAAAAAATACAAATGAGACTTAAAAAGAATATGAATGAGGAGAGTTTATTGTTCTTTATCAGTAATAATATCAAAATTCATATATTACGGGACTTGAGATCCGAGATCGCCAAAATTTGTCTTATTTTTCACTTTGAATGAGAGATCGCCAGACTGAAAGGTTTAATTTCCCATAATTGATGAAATATACTTTCCTCTTGGCGCTTGTAATTCTAATAGAGTTGCCTTATGGGGCAGAGATTCCGTTAATTGCAGGTGAAAAGCATTTTATATCATTGCCGAAGGCAGTCACGACTATGTTATTCTCTTTTTCTAGCAGGTTCCAGGTCAAGCAAATGAAACAATATAAATAAACCAGATTTGTGAGGTGTAATTTCTTATCTTATCGAATTTTTTTGAAGGTATGTATAATATCTACGCAAATGTTACAAAGTTTCTTTTTATCCTTGAAAACGAAATTCTACTCACTATGGTTCTCCATATTTAGGAAAAACAAAATGGCCGATATTATTCGTCTCAATTGCCTTGTGATTCATACCGCCATTCCTGAAAGTATTTCTGTAAATAATATTATCGTGCTTGAGATTTCCAACTAACAAACAAGTCGATATCCTAAGACCTATAATTAAGGAACGATTTCCGGTTTTAGTTTGAAAATATTATTCCTTACGAATTCGGTTCCAATCTCTAAACTTGGTTGGCATATTAAAAAGTCATTGCATCAAAAAGTGGTACAAGATACCCATAATCTGGACTTATAAATAAATTCCTTTGATATATGAGGCTCTAACAAAATTTTGGATTAAAGCATTGAATTTCTTTAAAAAGTGGTAATGCCAAGCGTTTATCAACATGTTTACATAATTAGTCATAGGAAAGCTGAAAGGCTTGAGAAAATACGCCTGTAGTGAATCCGGGATCCTGCATTTATAGGGTTAGGCTAGTAACGGTAGAAATTCCATTAAGGAAAAATTGCGCGTATTAGTAGTAGTTTATCAAAAATAAATCACAAACCAAACTCGAACATTTCTTTACCTCCATCGTCGACGCTTTCTTTAATTTCTTAATTTAATAGTATGCAGTAATAATTACTCGAAAAGGGAAAAAGAATATTTAGTATTTAGTATCTTCAATTTCGCGCATTCGATGTTCTCCAAAAGAGATGGACTTTGGGTTTGATGAAGGCCCATAAGTTGTTTTATTGAAATGTGTAATATATATGATACATATATTTTATTATCTCTCCAACTTGGACCAAATATGTTATTATTCAGTCACCGTTTTTTTTTTATATTTCCATCATATCAATATATATTTTGAAAATTTTCTGGATAGCTTATGGAAGGGACATAACCATATGGAGGCTTCTCAATAGAAAGGAACCATAATGATAATCTAAAATAAAATTTTCAAAAAACATCTCTAAAATTTAATATGCAAAAGTGGGTATGATTTCTGATCCAAAAATATTCCAAATGGAGAATTGTATACAGTGGTGGCGTTAACTCAAAATTGTTATTCCATATATTAGATATACAGTAATAGTAATATTCAATACAGTAATAGTAATATTCATGCCCTATATATATATATATTCGCGTTAAGTTTGTTGAATATATTTAATATTTTTATATAGCAAATTATTATTATTAAAAAATTTAGCTATTATTTTTAAAAAAAATGTTCATAATTAAAATTTTAAAAAAGTTAAATTTGAATCAAAAGCTTCTTCAATAAGATTTTTGTCGTTTAATGGGCTGTAATATAATTTTATAAGTATAAATAAATATGTGTATATCAAAAAACCTTCATAAAAATAAATAAAAAAAATTATTTTACCCAATTTACGATCAATAATTTTCAAAGTTCCATTTGGTAAAATCATTCCAATATCGCCAGTTCGTAACCAACCGTCCGATGCAATAGTTTGAGAAGTCTCGTTTGGACTTTTATAATAACCTTTCATTACATTTGGTCCACGAACACAAATCTAGTAGCAATAATTCAACAAATCATTATTATTATCATAACATACTAACATTATTATTATCTACACATGATAATCGTGGAATACCTCTCCTCTTGGATTAGGTTTATCTTCAACACTATAACCTTTTTCTTCATAACTTATCAACTTGATTTCATTACATGCAATAGGTGCACCACATTGTGACACGTCCGAATCATCATTTTCTTCAGGTGATTGATAATCATAAAAACTATTTATTGTGACAGCACCACTACATTGTGTTAAACCGTAAGCTTGGATTACTTGACAAGAAACAGTGATTCTAAGAAAATCAAGTGTAGATTGTGAAATTGGTCCTTTAAAAACAAAATCATATCAATTAATACTTGGAATTAATTAAATATATTTTCTATATTTTTGATCGAGTGATTGCTTACCAGCTCCAACAACTAGAACACGAAGTTTACCACCAAATTTTGCTTTAACATTACCATTAAATACCAAATAATCCCATATTGAGTTTGTTAAAAGCATTCCTTTTTTTAAATAATACAATTTAGATTCATATCCTTTTTTGAACAGTGATTGATCTCCCATCGTTTGTAATATTGATTCTTGAAATCCTGTTAGAAAACGTGGTGCGCTTTTATTATAAAGATGTAAGATTATTAATCTTAATCTTAATCTTAACTAAAGCGAAATATGGATTTTGTTATTCATTTACCTGGTGAATATAGTAGGTTGTACTTCTTGTATATTATTTAACAATTGATTAATATCTCTACTATAAAATGCAATTGATACGCCAGAATAAAGAAATGAGAAAACAGATATTCTTTCAAAGATATGTGCTAACAAATAAAAGATGATAAATATATACATTATTTGGTTATTGGAAAAAATTATAAATTATAATTATGAAAGATAAAAGGTTTTTTTTTTACCTAATGGTAAATATGATAAATGTCTATCATCAGAAGTAAGTTTTTGTTGAGATGGGATTGAAGCAAGAATACCAGCTATAAATATATAAATTATATTATTAATATAATTGGGAATGAATAAGAATATCAAAAATTTTCATATAAATATTAAATACAGACTAACCAACGTCAGCCACGATGTTCTAATAATGTTATTTAATTATCAATTTAGATTTTTTTTTTGTAAATACAAAAATTTAATGGTAAATAATATATGTGTATATATAATAATAAAAGTTACTTTGTGTGATAATTCAACTCCTTTAGGTTCCTAATAATAAAATCAAATAATGAATTATATCTATTAGACAAGTAATTTATTTGTTTTGTAATAGACTGTAATAATAAAAGATAATTAAAAAGAAACACATACGCCGAATGTTGTTCCATTTGTAAAAACAATTGTCGCAGTATCTTCAGGATCTAATATAAATAAATTTAACATACACGTTAAAATACATATATCTTATATAATAATTATAACACCATCACCACCAATCAACAGCATCACCTAATTAATTACCTGGAAGCATATGATCCAACTTAGAAATAGATCCTTCTTCTTCAACAAAATTAAAAGTAACCAAATTTAATTCCAAAGTCTTTGCTGTTTCCAATTGTTGTTGAGTTATTGTGGTTTTTTCCAATTCTGACTCAGCCAATATCACATATTTCAAAGTTGGACATGAAGGAGCAGCAGAGAAAATGATTGGGAGTGTATCTTTTGACACTATAACAACATTAATTTCTGTCAATTTGATCTGTTTTATAATGTCATTTAGACGGAGAGGAATACATGGTAAAGCCACTGTGATTAGGCTGTAGCGACTAGCAGCTACATAAATATATACACACACATATATAGAAAAAAGAGTATTAGTATTGCAAAAGTTTTTAATTATCATAATATTTATTATAAATTTTTACCTAAATCTGCAACAATCCATTCTACATAATTACATAGATTGATTAATTAATTAGTATTTGTGTAATCATACATATTATCCTTTATTATAATAAATCTTTTGTTTTTGTTAAAATTTACTACCAGCACAATTCTTCATAAAAATTCCAAATAAATTATTAGAAGATTTCGGCTTTAAGCCTGTTAGTTTGATCAATCCAGATCCAAAGTTTGTAGTTCTTGCTGCGACTTGTGCTAAAAAATGTGTGTGTATATTAAAGAGGGAGAAAAATCAAATCAAAATCAAAACCAAAAATTATTTTTAGATCAAACAAAAAACAAAATACGGTGATTACTTACGATATGTTTGCTAATAATAATTATAGTAATAATAAATTACATAATGAATATCAATTTTAACAAAATACAAAAATCTCAAAATAAAAATAAAACATACCCAATCATAGTTATCGCCAACATTTTTAAAACCTAAACAATCTTTACCAACTCTAGTACCATGAAGAAACAAATCAGCCAGAGTTTTTATATTTTTGTCAGGGGAAGACAATAGTGGCATTCCATGAGCAGAATTATTGGAACGATAAATAACGGTTTCGTCGGGGTTACGAACTCGTGCAGGATCCGATTGAGAAGTTAATAGCAAAGGGTGAACATCGGGGCTTGGAGTATTGCGAATTGAAATGAAAGCAACTAAAACAATTAATAAAATTAAAATAATTGATAAAGAATCAATTTCCATCAACATTTTTGTTTTATAAAGTTGGAAATTTTTTTAATAAATTAATGATCTTCAACAATCAAAAAATAAATCATTTGATGTAATGTATGAGAATATTTTTTATATTTTTGACATTAATCACATGATTTCATGAGGTTGGGCATCACCATCAAAGAATAATAATAATAAAGGATTAGTGATATAATTATTACGTTGATAAAAAAACCTTATAAATATATGGAACCAAAATACTCAAAAATTAAAAACCTTTAAAATTAAAAAAAAAAATGGATGAAGTGGTGATGGATTATATAAAATATTTGGCAACAAGTTTATATGCAAAGACGAGTGAGATGATTTTTACAGGAACAAACTACATAGAAAATTTACAGGAATCATTTATCAGAAGAATGAAACCAATCAATCAATCGATCAAATATTTATGGATAAATGTTCCGCCGATACGTTGGTTGATCTACACATTATTTTTATTCAATTCGTTACCAATGGCACTCCTGTTTACATGGATTATTTTGACGTTGGGATTTGTTTTTGCATTGGCAGGAGTAGGAATTTTCTTAAGCCAAGGCTTCTTTATTATAATGGGATTGATGGTTTTCATACCAATCGCTACAGTGCTGATTTTTACAACGATGATGGGGGCATCAATTATGACAATGGGTTGGGCTAGTCTTAATGCTGGTAATTACGTTTTATACAATATTGGGGTTATATAAGTGGTGGTGGTGGTGGTGGTGGTGGCGGCGGCGGCGGTGGTGTGGATCATCATTATTCTTATTATTAATTGTTATGATTTATAATTAATTATCGTTTTGTTGTGAATTATGCATTAAGATTTTATCAATCGTTATTTATAATAGTATCAATTAGGAGGAGAAATTCATCATAACTACGAACTATTATGTATTATTTTCATTAAATTATAAATATTATTTTATTTATTATGTTCTTTAAAAATCTATGATTTAATTATCCATTTTGTTGTGAATTATGCATTAATATTAATCGAATCATCATAAATACGAATTATTATGTATTATTTTCATTAAATTATAAATATTTTTATTATTATGTTCTTTAAAAAATTAAAACGAACATTATTTAATTGCGCAATTGATGAGCTATTATTTTATTATTATTGGTTTCTTCCTTTGTCTGCAAATATTCAAAAATATTGCGTGATTAAATAATAATGATTATTGTTTTTTCTTGCTTATTATAGGTTAGTTTCAAAATGTTTAAAAATTGGTAGTTAATGACATAATTTATTTTTGAAATAATAAACAAACACATATAAATACAAAGGCCAATTCTCGAAATTTATTTTTTTTTGATAATTAATAAAATTTTTAAAATAATAAAAATGTCATTGAAAGATTTGTTGCAAAAAATTTTAAAAACACCATCACCGCTACCACCGTTGCCGCCATCACCAACAACAAATATATTACAAAATTCACCATCACAAACACATCAAACACATCAAACACATCAATTACAATTATCTCACCACCAACAACATTATAATCGCCAACAACACCATAACATACCACAAATACAGTTACAAAAACCACCAGCGAACGAAGAATTAGATCGAATTTTCACGGAAAAATTAAAAATTTTAAAAATGATGACGCTCGAATATGCAAAAATGCCAATTGAAAAAGTGTTTAATTGGAACGAAATTGCAAACGAATTACGAAAATTTGAAATAAATTGGTATGTTGTTGTGTTTCGATCTGTTCGAAAAGCTGACGCGGATAATAAATTATTATTCGAAGCGGATGCTAACGCACAAGACGAAGCAAGAAAATGTGGTGGTTTATTAGCGGTAATAACAATAATAATCTTTTTTGTCATTGGTCTTTTATTTTTATTTTTTTTTGGTAATTAATAAATTTACATTATATAATAAATAGTATTGGTTTGGAGAGCTGAATGAAAGACGAGAATGTTTAGCAATGTGTATTTGGAGTGACCAATATTACGCAAAAATGGCAAATAATAAACCAAATCATGTGATAGCAATGAAACTGGCAGCAATGATGTATGAAACTTATAAATTAGACAGGTATTTTATTAAAAAAAATAGAGACCAGCCTGAATTTACCGTAGAAAAGTATCAGTAGTCACTTATTGTATTTGTAAATCACGTTGGCCAATAGTAACAACGTTCATTGAAATGTTGTTTTGGCCATAATTAACAAAAAGAGTAAATTTTACGTATACAAGAGTAACACATTCATTATATATATTTTTTTTTTGTTAATAATAACATTTATTGTTCTTATTGTAATGATACTACTTATTTTTGTTACAAAAGACTTGTTGTAAATTTTATTTAATAAACACGAAAAACAATTTAGGCAATTATTCTGATTATTTTTGGCCATAATTAACAAAAAAAGTAAATTGTACATGTACAAAAGTAACACATTCATTATACTTGCGTGTTTATTTTTTTGCTTAGTCTAGAGTAAAAAAATTCTCTTTTTGTCAACAATTAAAAACAATTCAACCCGAATATAATTTTTCTAGGTTTTTAATTTGTCAAAAAATAAAGTTTTTTCAATCAGCCAATCAAATTCATGGTAATTTCCTCGGGTTTTAAAGTTTTAAAAAAAATTGTATTTCATTCTGGATAAATTTGGAAAATGAAAAATAATATAAAAGATAAGATGAATTCAATTGAAATCATTCAAAAAACGACTAAATCTTGAAAAACCTAATCTTAAAAAAAAAAAAAATCAAATCTATATATAAAAAACTTTTTTTTAAAAAAATCCAAATCTTTGTATAAAAAATTTTAAAAAAATGAATTCTTCTATTATCGATGACAACAACAACAATAATTCTTTGATTTATACGTTAGTCGTTATAAGTCATATTCCACAAGATCTCAATAATAACAATGACGATTGTTACACTGACGACGACGAAAGCGAAAGTGAAGACGACGGCGAAAATTACGAAGATAATTATCAACAACGAATTATAAGGACGTCATCTACTAACAATGTTAACGCTAATTATAGAATTCGTCCGAATACTAACACTACAACCCCAACAATCATTCATTATCACCATCTTCTTCACTATAATCATCACCGTGAAGAACAAAAACAATTTAAAAATAATGATGATGATGATGATGATGATGTTGATGTTGATGTTGATGATGTTGATGTTGACGGTGATGAAGATGACGGTGATGACGACGACGACGAAGATGACGACTATAATGATGATTATGGCGGGGAAATTTATAATTTTGATGATTACGAATTTAAGAGTAATGTTTTAGAAGAGAATTACGATGATATTAATAATTACATTAATTATATTTTTGACAAATATAATAATAGTAATAGTAATAATAGTAGTAATAGCAATAGCAATAGCAATAGCAATAGTAATAATAGTAATAGTAATAGTAATAGTAACTTTAAAAATATCTGTAATTCATATATTATTTAATAAATGTTATATTTTTCATGTTTTCGTATCATATTCTCTTTCGTAATTATCCATACCTTCAACACTATAATTGTTCTCCTGATTATTTATCAAATTCAACAATTATTTCTTGAATTTTTTGAACGGAAAGATTGATTAATCTCTATCATTCTGGTCAATTCCCAAAACATTTTATAGTTGTTGTTGTAGTTGTTGATGGCTTCGAAATTCAATAGAAGATCTGAAAATGCTATATATTCTTTAAAATTATCCTTGTGTACTATTGTTGTTACTGAATTTATAATTAATTTCGGTCATAATTGGCAGTAATAATAATAATAAAGTTGTTCATTAAAATACTCGTACGAATTAATATACAGATAATAAAAAAAAAAAGATAACAAAATGCTTCAGAATATATTTTTTTTAAATCATTTATTATTAAAACTTATGGATTAACAACAATACAAAAGAATATATATTTTAATGGGATCACTTTAAAGGTTTAACATTGGATAGATTTCTTTGTTGATTTAAAAGATGTTCACGAACAAAAAAATATTCATCATGACCTTCATAGTGTCAATTATCAATTCCAGCTAATCAAACATCATCAAATCAATAGCAAATCCAAGAGAAAATTATTTAACTGACGCAATCGGAACAAAAAAAATTAACTACTCTTTACTCAGTAGCAAAGATAATAAAAAAATAATTACAGTACAATATATTTAAAGTATCCCCACAGAAGTTTTAAGAGGTAAACCAGATACAATAGCATCAGATACATACAATTTTGGAGTATTGATGTCAGTAGTGTCAACTGGTCAACAGCCATTCAGTAATTCGACACATGTTCAATGAAGATTTGTGAAGGAGTAAGTCCTGAATTCTCAAATAAAACTCCAAAAATATATTAATTAGCACATATATATATATATATATATGGATGTTGATCTAGATAAACATCCATCTGCTGAAGAAAATTAAGGTGTTATTGATCTTGGCTTTATTCATTAAATGATATTCATTTATACAGATGAAATGGAATCAATTAAAAATTTTTTGAAGTGATGGATAAGATTGAATTTGATCCTTCAATAATTACAGCAACTGTACATACAGATCAACCTGTTAATTCTAATAAGATTACAATTATTAGTAATAATGATAATGGCAATTAACAAATTCCAAAATTTAATATTATTAAATATTAATTTTATTTACAGATTCTCATTAATTTAAATGCACTTGATCAAGTACCTTAATATGAAAATATTTTATTTTATTTATTTTTTAACTTCATCAAAAATAAATTAATATATTTGATCTTGTTTAAAAAATTTTTTTAATATATTTATATATATTGTTGAAGATTAAAATGTTATTTGTTCAAAATCTATGGTTCACAATTATAGTTTTCAAGAAAATCTTCTTTTCTCTTCACAAAAACCATGTTAGAATAAATCAACTTCAATCACAATCCCACATATACTGCAACATTGTGTTGTTTTACCAGTTTTTGAATCAGTGACGGCTTGGCCAAATTCATGTTTATGTGGCTTATTCTTACCAATATTTAACGAGTCTGTTCTTGTGCGTTTTCGAAGATCTTTTAGTTCACATAGTAATAAAAATAATTTTAATTTCTTGGCTTTTAACATTAATATATAACAACAATAGCAGTGATAATGGTAAGAATGATGGTGTATAAATAATAGCAATACCAGCAAGTTTTGTTTTAAATTTTTTATCTTTTTTTTTCTTCTTTTCTTCTTGTCGTTTTTCAAATTCTTTATCAAGTCCTTCTGCTCCTCCCCATTTCTTGAATGCATATTCTTCAACCTTTAAAAAAAATTTTTTGCATAACTTTTTAGTGTTATCCTTTTAAACTTAATAAAAATAGATAGAGATGGAGAGAAAAAATGAAAGTATAGTTATACCTGTTCCCGTAAAAATAACATCATATTGTTCCATGATGATTTATGTGGATTTGGTTTTGTTATATAATTAAAATTATCTGGATCATTTAATTCAGCTTCCAACAATAATGATGATGAAAGTAATTAATTAAGACGGTGGGAAAGTGAGAGATCAATTGAAACTTATGAATAAATATACATTGCTCCAATATTTATTTTTACATTTTATATATTACCATCAACTAACAAATAGTCCTAATTAAATTGATTAATTTTAATTAATTAATTTCAAATTGTTGGAAAAAATTTTTTTTGAAACACTAATAAAAAGCAATCAATATACCTCTTTTGCTTCAGTTTTTGTTATTAAACTATACTTTTCAGGAAACTTATCTTTGCATGATTTACAAACATTCACATTAAAAACTTTGTTGAAATCAAGATCTACCTCAATTGAACTACATTCTTTACAATGTGGTATTTCATCGGGGTTTGGTCCATACACTAATATATATAAATATTAAAGATTTATTATAATACAAATATACAATTTGCATATAATTGATATGTAATCTATTAAATATTTATTGTTGACTCACTTGAATAAGGATCTAATTCAGGTTCAGGGTCTTTTATTTTACGTTTTTTTTTGGAGTTATTTTCATCATCATCCTCTTCAGCCAAAAAACCACCGCGTGTATCAACCATTTTAGAAAAATCATATTCTGCATAATTTTGAAATTTCTTTAATGGAACTAATTTTTTTGGTCCATTATTATTGTTGTTGGTGTTGGTGTCGATGTTGTTATCAATTGTTGATTTGGATAATGTTCCTTGTTGTTGTTGTTTTTCACGAAGTTTTGATAATGCCTTTAGTCGATTTTCTTCAATTCTTTTTTTTTGTTCAGATGTCAAGGATGATGATAATGTTGTAGAATTATCATTGTCACTGTTCACATTATTGATAAAAATTTCTGAAGATTTTTGATTTGACATTTCAAAAAATAATTGATATTAACATCGTGTCACATGAGTAATGCATTACAACACGTTAAGACCTTATTATCCAGTAATAGTCAGGGCTGGAAATAGTACTTTAAAAATCCGGATTTTCCTTTAAAAAATTTTAACTTCCGGAAAAAAAAAGAGTTGCCGGATATTTTTCCTTTTATTTTTATTTTTTTTTTTTGTACAGATTTCCTTCCACATAAAAAAATTTTATAATATATACTGTACATATATGTGTGTTATTACTTCAATATTTTAGAAAAGTACCATAATTTGTATTTTTTTGAATTTTAAGTTATTAAATTTAAAAATATATACACTTAAATATGAATTTATGTGTATTTGTTTTCCCTTATTCAAAAAAATAAATTATAAATAAATAGTATAGAATAAGAAGGATTAGATAATTTGGCTACTGAAATTTGGGTGAAGCATTTTATAGATAAAATAAATATTGATGAACCAGATATAGAAGGTTCAGATGATTTGACAATTCAAGGCTCAGATGATGATGATACTTCAAAAAAATCAAATCATATTAAAATGTCAAATAAAAAAGTGCATTTTAAAAATCAGGAAGAGGTTTTAAGCATGAATGGCTAAACATATATAAATGGTTAAAATATGATGCAGCAATGAAGAGAATATTTTGCACAATTTGTAAAGCACATGGGAAAAAAAATCTATTTGCAGGAAAAGATGACAAATAAATATAATTAATTTTGCATTTTGCAATTCTTAAATTACTAATATTATAATGTTATTATTTGGGATCAAAGAGTGTTTCAAAATCTACCACTCTAGCAACTCATGCACTTTCAAACCAACATAATGGCTCTTTGCTTCTAGAATAACCATGCAAGATTCTTCCAAAAAAAACCACTAATGGTAACAAACATATAATTAATATAATGAAAATGACTTACTGGATTGCAAAAGGAAATATTCCAATTTCCAAACCTCCAAGTCTTATTTATATTTTAAAACTTATAGAAATAGTGCACTCAATTCCATTTTCTAGTGTAGATTGTGAAAGAGTTTTAGCAAACAAAACAGATTTATGTAATGCAATGTAAAATGACATATTGCACTTATTAATGATGGTTGATTTAGAAGGTACTGATTTATTATGTTATGATTTTAGTGATGCTCTTAGTAATCTTCTTCAAAGTAAAACAGAAGTATAAAATAAAGAAAATTCTTAAATTTGAAAAAAATTTTAGCACCCAAAAAATTTAATTTTTCTTCTGGAAAATTCTTAGCATTCAGGAGGAATTTCCGTTTTTTTTCAGACCCTATTTCCAGCCCTGTTTATGGCTAAATGCAAATAATTATATTGCCATGAATATTTATAATATTTATAGTTTAAAATTTTTCTTTTCCATTTTATTCCTACATAAATAATAATGATTAAAATAATTAGATAATATGAGCAAGCAACAATAATATAACAATTGTCAAAAAAGGAGAAGGGAAATGTAAAATATTATTATTGTTATTAAAATGTGTCAATTAATTGTGATTTAAAATCAATATTAAATAACATTACTAAATATCAACTATAAATAAGTTTTGAATATTATGTGCAATAGAATTCAGGCTTTCTTTTGATCTAAGATTACTCAATTCAATCAAGTACTTACCAAAATACAAAAATATATGGTAATAGATAAAGAGCATTTTTTTTTGGATTTTAAAAATAATCAAACTCATTTATCATACAACTAGATAAAGCATTTGTTACTGGAATCAAATGATAATGAAGATAATTTGGCCAAATCCTTTAATTTCAGGTCAATTTAAATTTTATTTCTATTTCTATTTTTATTATTATTAATTAACATGTATAATAATAATCATCTGAATCCATACTATGTTTCACGTATTTAATTATTATTAATTAATCTGTGGCACGTTTAATGTTTATTTAACTTTATTTAGTAGAGATTAATGACGATTATCCTGGACCAGGCAGAATTGCTCAAGCACACAAAGTGGGTGAATTCACACAATTTGGGCTAATATGCATAAAGAATAGTATCCAATAAAATAAATATGATAGAGCTGTTATGTGACCATCAATCACCTCTTTTCATCATCATTATCTTTCAATTTGTAAGTAGAATCAATTGTCTCTTTTTTTCAATATCAATATCATCATGTGGGCACAGCCAGTAAACACGTAATACCCCACTTTAAGTAAAGAAGACTTGCCTTGTTGCATATTGAATTTTTCTTTTTTGTTGTGGTGAAAGTATCTAAAAATAAGAAAATGAAAAAAAGATTTTCATTAGCCAAATAATTGACTAAGCAAAGCTACCTTGAGTAAAACAGGCATAAGCCAACACATGAGCCATCTTGAGTGGGATCACTCCTCCAAAGAAGGGCAGCCAGTAAAAAGTTCCACCCACTTTATTAATTTTCGAAAAAAATAATAATTCACTGGACTTTCAATGACTATGAACTAACACATTGGCCTGAACTCAGTGGGGTAAACTGCTACAGTTGTATAATAGGACGATCTGAATGGCCCAGTAATAAGTTCCACCCACTTTACTTTACTGAACTTTTAGTAATACTTGCCTTGCATAGTGTGGTCATGCATCCAAAAAAAAATAGTATATACATCCTTGTTCATTTTTGACAATCCCAAAATATTAATGGGAGAAAAACAAATGAATAAAAATAGAACATAACTAAAATGGAAACTCTTACTAAACTAGTACTAGTACTAGTTTTAAAACAAGTAATTCCCCAATTCAAAACTGACACTTTGAGATTAATACTAAGTTTCATTAATAGTTATTATTATTACTTGAGTAATCTTTAACACTTGCTTTAATCAACCCGCCTATATATAGCTATTAATTAATTATTCATTTATTTTTTGTTTAATAAATATAATAAATATAGATACAGTGTGGAACATTCAATTCCGGAAAATTTTTGTGGAAACTAAAATTTGCACAGCTTAACCAAATTAAGCTTAATTTATATATTTTAAAATGAAAAATAAAGAT